GATAGATAGACAGTAAAAAATATTATATCCGTATATAAATATTTTTTTTATTATAAATTAATCGAGAAGAATTGTTATTTATCGTTAGTTATCTTTAGAAGGTAAGTCTTTCATCTGTTGGATCGACCGCCTTGCCAAATGACAGTGATTTCAGCGCCCTCGTAATTATAAATTGTTAATCAAAACAATTTTTTGATAATCTTATTTCATAATTTGTTTGTTTCGTTCGATGCCATAAGTATACGGAAATAGTAATCAATGGAAAAATATAACAGAAGGGGATGCAAAATTATAATCATATATATATATATAAATCAGTCGACCGATAAAACCCACTGACAAATGTAAGATATGAAAATTACATGAAACAGATATGGATCGTCGGCATACTTAAAATTTATCTTTTAATAATCCTTTGACAAACGTGCTAACTCTGAAAAATCTCGAAACGTACAATTTTCATACGTGTATGATTACGAATATCGAAAATACGAGGAATAATCGGGAATTATAAAATAGAAAAAAGAAAAAAAATGTTGTCGTATAATATTCGAACGAGCATATTAATCTATTGAGAGGCACTGTAACCCTCGCGAAACACAGTTAAGATCGACAAATAGGAACATATGTTCCTATTCGAATTAAGAGAACAGTTATCGGAATGACATTTATTCTTTGGTTGTACAGGAATTATTCACGATTATTTATAAAAGAATTTTATTGTATCGATCGAGCGAAATTCACGCTCTGAAATCCAATATTACGAAACCATCGAATCGCGAACATGACAAATAATTTCAATAATCAAAATGATTTCGTATAGAAATCGGGGTAAAGATTCGTGGCTCGATAAATAAATAATTTCGAGCAATTTTTATATATTAATGAATAGGATATCTTTTTATTAATAGAGTTTTCATCCCATTATAGATTTATTTTTTTTCTTTTTCTTTTCGTTTAATCCCTCTATCGATACGTTCATCAGGATTCGATAAATATATATGTTATAAATATGCTAAACGAGACGTATTTTATTACATCGATATTACATCGATCTATTTTCGATGTGTGTATCTAAATTCCTAACTTTTGAAAATCCCTGAGTCTATTTAACGATCTTAAGATTGGCAAATATATCAATTAGATATGCTTTTTAAAGTTTCAAGGATGGATATGTTTCGAATATATTATTCGTGACGATGGACGGGGTCACGATTCATTTTAAATTTAAAATTAATTGAGAAACGCGGATGATTCCGCGTGAACTTAAATAGATAAATTCGTATGAAACTTGATAGAAGAAGTAATAATGTTAACGGATCGATCCTATAAAGTGATTGTCGTGGTTTTTACTTTATAAAAGAATACGAAATTCGTTATATTTGCAATTTTTATCAAAAGAAAACAAAGGTAATATTCCCCTTTTACTTACTACACTATATATCTTAGCTTGGTTAAAACGTTTCATAAAATCCATGTGGCATGACTATATTACAATCTGATTATATTTTTGCAGAGCGTGCTTTTATTACTCGCAAAGAAGGGAACTGCTAGGAAAGAATGTTTATCGTAAAATAAGAGAAAGATTCGATGTAGTCGTCGCTTTTAAAAACTCATTCCTTTTTTCATCAAATTTTTATACGTTCAAAATATTTCTTTGTGGCGTGTACATTTTTGTACACACGCCAAAAATAATTCGGATCGATTTTCATTGACCAAATCAAATTTGAACAAATTTCAAACGAACGATCGATAATGAGATCGATCATCCTCGTTGATTCTAATCGATCCTTTAAGTCGAATTGCTAATTGCTAATTATGATATGTAAAGTATAAAAAAAAAAGAAAGAAAAAAAAAAGATCGAAAGGATCGACGCAAGGATAGTGGAGAAAGAAGACTGGTGGGGTTGAACCTCGTGGATTGGCTGCGCGATACACGATTTGTTGCCGAGGGGATGCGCCAGAGGGTATGTCCCCAGGTATATATACTCTTGTCCTGTGGCACGAGCGGCCGATTCGATTTCAACTCTTGAATATTTCGAAAGGATACACACAGGAATCTTTTCTCGTCACGACAGATTGATATCTCGACTGGTGAGTATGCATTGCGAATATATAATCCTTTTGTTGTAAAAAAAACTCGAAAGAATTCAGGATTATGTGTCTCGTTTTTATCTTAGTTAATAATAATTATTCTCATCAAAGTGGTGATAATTTGAGAAAAAACATATTTAAAGTTATTTTCAATATGTAGTATTGTATTAATTCGGATTACTTCGAAATTAAAAGCTAATATACGTTTCAAATCGATTCATTTTTTTTTAGAAATCATTCATTTATTTCGTGCATATCTGTGAACGCAAGAAAATACAATTTTTAATCAAATAAATGTAATTTTTAATCTTCGATTGTACAATTTTGATAATTGAAACGTATCGTCATAACGATAACCTAACATTTTATCGCGTAAAGTGTTTTTATTTTTTTATAATAACGAATTTGAAAAATATCATGATTAAAAATAAAAAATATAACAGTGAATTTCAAGAATTAATTCATTATCATCGAAAACAAAATACGTTCAAAAATTATATTTTATAATCAATCTGATAAATCGTTGTTTTTTTATTTTTTTCGTCGCATGACATCGTAATCAGTTTTACATATTCAATAAATACATATTAACTCGTCGATTCGCGACATTTCTCTTTCCATGAATATGAATTTTATTTTTTAATCACGATGCAAATGTCGATAGATAGTTGAATTATCGTGCGTAGTTACCATCCTTCTCAATTTTCGAGTTAATTTTTTCTTCGATTAAGTCGATCTTCACATTTATAATACCGACAATATAAAAGCAGCATAAAAAGTTAATATATTTGTAAAAAGACGTAATATAGCGCATGAAATCCTGTCAGGATATTCGTTCTCCTCTACAAGCAGCTTTGTTGCTGGATTATCAAGCTTACGAGGATATCTTTTATATAGTAGTTTGCACCAAACGATATATATTCTTTTAGTCTTTCTCTATAAAAGTTCTCTATAAAACGAGAAGATAGGCTATTCGAATTTTTATGAATACTGTTCCATATTATTAAATTAAACAAATCGGTAATCAATCTCATATTGAGAATATATACATATTTTTAATGAGCTATCGTTAAAAATCATCTAATAATTTCTATGAAATCAATGAATTTTTTTATCGAAATCAAATACATTTTTTATGAAATTTTAATAAAATTTTCGGAAATTATTGCCAATTTATTGCCTGAATTTTCGAATAACGATCCACAGATCAAGTACATTTCCATATCCAATTTTAAACCATTAATTGCTCCCCGCGGAAAACATTCGATTATCGATGGAGTGATATCAAACGAGCAACAGGTAACTCGAGTTTAAGTTCAATTTCTATTCGCACTTAATATCTTGCATCATATAACGCGGAGTTATATTCAAATCGTTTTCAAAATCTAATTTAATCGCAACTTATATTACGTTACCACGTGATTTTTATGATTTTAAATATACAAATATGCCAAATAAGTATATTTTTAAAACTTTAATAACGCGATTTAAATATATCAAATAATGTACGATAGAGAAATATATTTGAGCATAATGTATATAGTTATAACGAATATGATTAGCATATTTCTATGGGTATATTGAAACACGTGTGAAACAATTTAAATATTTTGAAATTAATCAATTCGTACAAATCTTTTCAAAATCTTTTCAAAATTGTTCAGATATTTATATTATGATAATAAAATATTCAGTGGAACATTGAAAAAAATGAAAATAAAAAGTCATATTTGTTAAACCAAATGTAATTAATTTAAGAAACAGAAAAATTTAAACAGGTGGATAATGAATAACGTATAAATTTGTATTTGTTGATTTATAATTTGCATGTTTTATTATGTAAATCGAATATACGAAATTTGTATAACGAAATCACACTTTTTCAGGAAAATTTCGAAATTTATTTTTTCCAACAAATATCCGATGATTTCTAAAACGACGATGCAACTGTGTTCCAATACCATCTACTTGTATCTTGTTCTCTTTATTTTTGGAATTATAATTGTTCACGGTGAACCGGAACCGATGGCCAGACCAACACGGCCAGAAATATTTACAAGTCCGGAAGAATTAAGAAGATACATCGATCATGTTAGTGATTATTATTTGCTTAGTGGAAAGGCAAGGTAATAATGTATTTACGTTATCTAATATTTCGTAATATATATTATAAATTTTTCGATTGATAATTGAATATTTTTAGCAAATATATATATATATACATAGATTTGATAGAAAAATTTCATATAAAATATTTCAGAAAACGAAACTTCAAACAGATTTAAATAAAAATTTAAAAATATAAATTTTCTAGAAGATAATTTAAATATAAGTATATTTGTATGCGATATAATTGAATAATTATAATGTTATGATATGCCTGATATTTGAATAGATATGGAAAAAGAGGAAATGTTCTATACTCTGTGCCAGATGTTAATTATCCTTGGGATACGATGAAAACAGTGGTGGAGAATTCTCAACGATCGCAGCAATTAAAGTTGGAGAAAAGGAAGCAAAAAGATAGTCAACTTTTGGGTGAGCACGAAACCTATGGCGCTAAAAAGGAAACATCACGAATCGATACTCGACCTTGTCACGTGTTAGACTCAATTGAAAGATACTATGACGATGTGCAATAAAATAATTTGCATATATTGCCTTGTCTATAACGTATGCATCTCGTTGTTGTTTGATTCTTTGTCACATGTTTCATTTTAATTGCTTATCAATTTTAATACTTTTCTTTGTAAAAAAAAAAGTTTTTTTGAATTTTCAATTGAAAATAAAGAGTGCCTCTTCGAATTGAAACAAGGATAAAATAACAGCTAATCAGTTAAGTTTTTCGTTAAAATTTATACAAACAACAAGAGATTTTAAATTTAAATAAATAATATTTCACTTGATACAATTTTGAATGTTTTATTTTTTTTAAATCTTGCTATCACAATAATATTCTTTGATTAATCTAAAAACACAATCATCTTCGTAAAATATGTAACACGTTCAATTTTTGATGAAATTATTTTTCTCTCTCTAGAAATCGTTTCAATATATTTCAACAGCAAAATCCAGAAAATTTTTCTTCCCCATTATTACATTTATTTTCGAAGTGGAGAACTTGTCGTTGAACAAGGATAATTCTTTGGTCTGTCGCAACTTTCGATTATCGGATTGAAAACGAGTCCTTCTTGGCATTTCTGTCTTTGCTTTGTTTCAGTTTTGCAATCATATACATAATAGTATCTGCAATCCTCTTTATCCTCTATATTTTTTGTTGTACAAGGTGTTGATGGTATTTCTGGAGTCGTTGATGATGTCGTTGTTGACTTTGTCGTCGTTGACTCTGTCGTCGTTGGCGATGTCGTCGTTGACTTTGTCGTCGTTGACTCTGTCGTCGTTGGCGATGTCGTCGTTGACTCTGTCGTCGTTGGCGATGTCGTCGTTGGCGATGTCGTCGTTGGCGATGTCGTCGTTGGCGATGTCGTCGTTGGCGGTGTCGTCGTTGACGGTGTCGTCGTTGACGGTGTCGTCGGTGGTGATGTCGTCGTTTCTGTTTTAATAGATGATGTTGAAATTGATTGCCCTGGATAAATGCAATTTGGTAGATTTGGAACGTTAAATGGCCAATCGCAAACTTGTTCTTTCGGATTAAACACTAATTGATTTCCATTGCCATAGTGTGGACATTCCTTTAAACATGCCATTCCTCTTGTACATTTAAAAAATTTGTGGCAGTTGTTACTATCAGGAAGATGGATTGCATAACCATCATCATTTAACGGACATTTCGAATTTGGGTAACAATCACTGGGTAATTTGAGATTTTGTGTATTTGCTGTTGCCATAAGCATGGCAAAGAATAATATATATAAACCTGAAATTTACGAAGAAGGAACGAAGTTATTATATTTTTCCATTGTAACTTTATTGAAATATTCAAATATCGCTATTCAAAAATTTCGAAAATAAAATAATTGAACCCTTTCGTTATATCTTGTCATTATTTTATTTTATTTTATTAATTTTATTTGAGACAAGATTCTCTGTTCTTAAATTTTCATTTATTCTATATTTATCGCTATTTTATTTATAAATTGTTACGAGAAATTATTTAAAAAATTCGAATCACTTACCGGTCATTTTAACACTATTAAACTATTAAATTTATGAAGTTACATACGTTATCGTTTGAAAACTAACAAATTTTATTAGCAAAAATCGATTTTTATAGTGTCTTATCATTAAAGTATTATTTATCTTATCAGATCTAATATGTACATACATTCCATTTGATTCGATTGCCGAAACTTTGTTTGTTCATCATTATTCTTTCATTTTCTTCATATTTAAAATTTGATTTTCTTAAACGAATATTTACATTGAAATGAAATACATAATTCATCAATTAAAATTCTAATTGTTTTTATTCTAAATATAGTTATATATATATATATATATATATATATATATATATTGTACATACTATGTTGCTTTATTAGAAAGAACAGAGAATAAATTTAATATCATTTTGACAAGTATTTTTATAGAAATGAATTGTTTATTTATTGTTACATTATTATTGTTACATTAGAATATGAAATTGTTATTATTAAAACAATTTTTCGCGATATTTTTTTTAAAAATTGATTTAATCGATAAAAACATAAGCCAAAATTATAGATAGTGATAGTGAAGGGAATTGTGTCTTAAAATAACAAATAATTTTAAAATCATTTTTAATGTTTAAATTTAAAATTAAAAAAAAATTATCATTATATTTCAGTATATATACTTCACAATTTAATATTATTTCTATCGAGTAATTTACTTATTTTGACAATAAATAAATTTTTTTAATTAAAAATGTATATATTAAGAAAAATTGATGTGGTATTCTGTTTCGATAAAATTTATATATACGGTTCATTTAGAAAAAATATATCGATTTAAAAAATAAAAAAAAAAATAAGATGTAATGTATCTAAAGTCGAACAGAAAAGATCTAAAAGTATTTATTTCTTTCAAATAATTTTATCTATTTTTTTTATTTATGAGATTTTATAAATCCCACAATTTGATTTTGATGAAATCGAACCAATAAAAACAATATTGTACAGATAACACGTCCCCTATGTGATTTAATCCAAATTCATATTGATAAAACAATAAATTTTTCATTGATTTCGAAATATACTTCAAAGAAAAGATTATCGTGTTATGACAGAGTTCATTGTGCAGTAATCGATAAAATTAAATTTAAAATTAGATTTTTTTTAATCAAATCTAAACATTACTTTATTTCGATATCGTTTTTTTATCGATCTTTTATTTCATATTTTTATTATTTTATATTTTTTTATTTTTGCAATTTATAAGTTTACAGTTTACATACATTAATGATGAATACATGAATGATACGAAATTGTAAAATATAACTTTAATTTATAATGAATAAGAAAATGAATAAAAAACGTGAAAAATTTTGAAAAATTCCAATATAATTTTTTGTGTATTATGTATTGTATATTATTTATTGTGTAATAATGATAGTCAAAATATAATCACATTATTTTGTATGCAAATTTAATAGATTAATATTTATTTTATTATTTCAACAATCATCAATGAAGAATCGTTCAATATTTAATTTCAACTTGTCTCATTAGAAACATTTCTAATCATAGTTTCATTCAAACATTCATAATAATATAAAATTTCTTTAGAATTTTATAATAATTTAAATTTTATAATAATCATTTCCAAAATTAATTAAATCCAACAAATTAATGAATTACTTATAACAGAATTTAAATTTTCCACATTAATACACATATTTACATATATGTATAAATATTAATTAAATAACATCAATAAATGACATAACATAATTTCAAATAATTCTCTACATTTTAAATATATTATTAATTTTATTATTAATGTTCATTACATAATTAAATAAAATATAATTAAATTTAAGAAATAATTTACTAAATATATATTCTAACACAGTTCATTTTGCAAATAATGCATTCTATAAAAATCTATTGATAAATAAAAAAATACCTTTGATGTGATTTTTTTTATTCTTTCTAATTACAATTGAAAATCTACATTTGTTTTCTTATTCATTGTAATATGTTTTGATATAAAATTTTCTTAAAGAACGCAACATTATTATAGCATAATTTTAATGATGCAAGAGATACAAGAGAAGATAGAATTGAATTACGGACAAATATCCCAATGTATCTCTCGATTCCTATATCGTTTCAATAATTCATAATAACAATTGATTTCTATTTCGTGTTTGAAATACACAATCAAAATATAATCCTTTGTCACATTTTTCTAAATATTTAATTCCATTATGACATGCATAATATTACAATATAATTACTTTCATGAGGTAAATTTTTGTCCTTATCATTACATTCGAATAATTTGCGATAAATTTTGTATGTTCTCAGATCAATCCTCTGTCCTCATCATCATAGTAGAGATTTTTGGGATACGTGCTGATTCTTCCCGTTTCACATTTTCACATTGCAATTATAAAGCTTTGAATACGTGGAATTATAAATTATACAGGTTCTATTGCATTATGGTTCTGATTCTAATTTTTCACCACGATAACAATGAGCTTGATTAATATTAACACAAATTTCTTTTTCATAATCAAAGTATTTTCCTTCTTCGCAATTTTCACGATATTTCATTCCATTTCTGCACACGAAATATTTATCACAGTGACATTCATGAGGAAGATTATCTCCCTCGGAACTGGAATCGCACTGAAAAGGATCGCACGTCAAATTCGCCACGTTTTCTGGCCAATCGCATGTTTGATTCTTTGGATTGTAGACCTTCTTCTTGGGGCAATTAACGATATAGGGATATCCATTTTCGCATACGCAATACTTGTCACAATCTTTATGAAGCAAATATTCTGTGGAATAAAACGACGAACAAGTACCAACACAATCAATTCGATCCATTTGGTCAGGACACTTCCCTTTTTTACATATTTTTCTCTTCCAATCAAAGTATTGTCCCTGCGGACATATCTGAAGCACTTCGTATCCGTTTATGCATTCGTAATATTGATTGCATTGACATTCGTGAGAACGTTTCTCTCCCTCTTTACATTTTTCGCAATTCACATTTTCCGGAAAATTACAAATCTGATTCACACTGTCGTAATGAAGGCCTTCGGGACATGCCTTTGAAACTTTTTTATCATTTTCACATTGATAATACAGGGAACAATTGTGAGGATCAGGAAATCGGCTAATACAATTGCAACCATTGGGACATTCCACGCATTCAGAAGATTGCGGCGTTGTAATAGTGGTAATAGGAGTTGTAATAGTGGTAGTAGTAGTTGTAATAGTAGCAGTAGTAGTAGTAGTAGTAGTAGAAGTAGAGATAGGAGATGTTGACGAATTCTTACAATTTCCATTCCAAGATAAGTCACACGATTCGATTAAATCGTTGAAATAATGTCCTTGTAGACACGATTTTAGATAGTTGTAACCATTATTGCAGTCGTAATATAAGGAGCAATTTGTTTCATGAGGTAAGTATGCATGACCAGTTGGTGGACATTCAGAATTTGCGAGTGCAAAATTATAATTGAACTTTTGGTTTTTGCATTTGGCACGATACGGATAATCGCAAACTTCTCGAATGTAATCGTAAATCAGGCCGTTCGGACATGTTTCACGGAACAATTGTCCATCCTTGCACTCGTAATAGACGGTACAAGAGCATTCGTGCGGAAATTTCGCAGGTTTCTCCTCTGATCCCTTCGGCGGACATTTTCGACTAATCTCAACTTGCTCAATCGCATTAGGCGTAACCTTCCTCGGTTTTAACGATTTCGAAGAGCACATGTTACTCGGTGGCCAAGTGCACATGGAAGTTTCCTCGTTGTAAGACAATCCAAAGTCGCAAACTCTCTTGCTTTTCATCCCATCCTTGCACAAGTAATACGAACTGCAATCGGTCTTGTCAGCAATATATGCGATACCGGTTGCAGGACAATCATTGGTAGAGATCATGATGCATCCCAATTTTTCAGATAAAACGCATTTCCTACTTTTAACATCGAAATCTTCATTTTTCTGACAACGTCTTTCGACGAATTCTCCATCGACGCATTCGTAATATAGAGATTGACATTTGCATTCGTGGGGCAAGAATACAGGATCAAATTTACCATTGGGGCATACGTTCTTATAAACGTTACACGTCGCCTTCTCCTTAGCCACACATTTCATAGTTTTAGAATCGAACAGCTCTCCTTCTTTGCACGAGTTTTCAACTTTTTCACCGTTCGTGCATACGTAGTATAAAGTGCAGTTGTAAGGATGGGATTGTACGTAACCATCGGTAAAACAATCGAATGTTTGGGATACGCATTTTGATTTCCATGGTAGAACGCAAGATTGAGATTCAATGTCAAAATGTTTTCTATGGCCTGGGATAAATACTGGACAATCCATAGATTGTCTTTGTCCGTTAAAGCACTTGTAGTATTTGGTACAATCGTGTTCGTGAGCGAGCAATGTAGTTTTGTTCAAAGAATTTGGACATTCCGTTGAAATCTCGTATGTTTTTGCAGAAACAAGACTTGTCACTGCGACAAAAATGGCAATTGCCATTGCCATCAATAATTCTGAAATTTAGAAAAATAAAATAGATTATTTTATTTTGATTTTATTTTGATTTTATTTAGGAACTATTCGTTAGATTTATTATGACTTTTTGATAATTATTCCTCAATTATCGCTATTATTTACTTTTCTAATCTTTTAAAAAATAATCACGGATCAAATTACTCACTTGTCATTATAAAAAAGATTAATTCTTATGATTAAAAAACAAATAAGCTCTCTAACGTTACTTATTTAAAAAAGACTGACAAATTAAAGATAAAAACTGACTTTTATACTCAATGAAATGTTATCATCACCAAGATACTCGTTCGATACTTAATCTATTTGATTTAAGCAATCGATATCGCTCATCATAATCATGTTCTTGTATTTAGAATTACATTTTTAGATTATTTTTAAATAATTTTTGTTAGTCATTTTTATTACTCATATTTCAAAAAATTGATCTTGAATATTATATATATATATATATAGTTTGAATATTAATAATTTTTTCCAATTCAAGAGAATTGTAACTGATAATGAAAATTTGAAAAATATCGAGAAATATTATTATAATTTCTGTGATATGAAGAAAAAAAAAATATAAGTTTCCTCAAAAATTTAAAAGATTAAGAAGAGTTGCTAATAATAGATGTAAAATACATTTCTAATAAATAAAGTTATATATTGGAAAATAAAATCATGACGCAATTTAATCGCAAAATATTTTCCTTAATAAAAAAGAAAAAAATATTATTCATTGTAACCATTTTCCATTTATTTAAATACATTTTCTATTTTTTTTTCTTAATTTGCGAAATTGTTTTTTTAATAATATTCGATCGAAAAATAAATTATATTTAAATAGAAGATAAATATATTACATTTGTCTTAAAACTTTTTTTTTATTTTTATATATAGAAAAGAATAGAATCAAATTAAAACAAATCCCAATTCTATTTTTTTCGTTAGAAGATATATGTCCGACTATGATAAAGTTACTCTACTGATGCGCAATAAATGATTATTATTGCAATATAATCTTCATTATGAATCCAATTATTTGTGAATTTATCAATGGTCGATAAAAACATATTCGATATTTAAAACATTACAACGGTCGATCATGTAGTTGCACGGATAATATGTTTCACGAATGCAACGCTAGTGTCTCTGGCATCGCTACATCAGTGGTACATGTCTTCGTCGCGCTCTCTCAAAAATAACGATCCAATAAGAAGCGTGTAAACAATGGTTGGAAGGCATGCGATTGGCGGCGTTGTCGCCAAGTCAGGTCAGAGCAGCCAATCGGGATAAATAAATTTCGATCCAGCGGAAAATGCATTGGTCGTCCTTTCCCCCCACCAGTGACGGCGGCTCGGCTCATATTCAGTAGACTCGGCCATTTCTCTCGCGAAGCGTAGTTATTTGCTCGGCCGCGACATTTTTTTCCGTAAAACCGTGCGGGTATTCCCGTAAGCTTTGCAAAATAACGCGACGCAAAAGGATGATACACTCCGGGCGCACCAGGCTCGAGGTAAGTCAATGCATCGTTTGACAGTAAACGAGTTTGCTATGAAACGCGCGTCAAAGTCACTACGGGGGGGTCGTGCGTGTGTCCAATGTTGTCATTGCCGAGGCGAACAGCTGATCCGCTCCCCTGGCCTCCGCAATGCTTGGCAACATTTTCTCGCTCGGTTCTCGATCTTCTGCCATGACGACGAACTGCGAAAGCCAATAGTGAACAGTACGTTTCGATGATGCGTCGTTCGTGAAGAGTTAAAGGAGTTCTTACTTTTAGATCGCTACCATTTCGCGTATATCTCCCTTCTCACTCTCCTTCCTTCTATTTGCCTCTCTATCATATTCTTACTCTTTCTCTTTCTGTGTCTCTATTTCTGTCTCTTTTTCTCTCTCTCATTTACCGTCTCTGTTTCTCTGATCGACCAACCAACAACCAGGCAACTCCATCCTTTGTTCTTCTTTCTTTTTGTACCTTGGTACGTTCCCTTTCAGTTTCTTCGTCTTCAACTTCGTTAAGCTCATCGTCAGCATCGCCGTTACTTTTATCGCAGATCATCCTGATTATGATGTATTGCATACAACAGTATATTCGAATAATGTTTCTCACATTTTGTGTATTATCTTTTTTGTTTGTTTCATTGTTATCATCGTCATTTTTATCGGAATTGCCGCTATTCTGGCAATTAATATAATTATTTTGATCTATCTTCGATGATTGCATTGTATACAAACTTGAGGAATATCGTTGTTGTCAACGAGGTCTATCCCCTCCCCTCCTTTCCCTCCCTCCCTCCCTCTCTCTCTCTCTCTCTCTTTCTATTTTCCCCTTCTTCCGCTTTCTCACTTTAACTTATCTATTTGTACCTGTCTCTCTCATACTCTGTTTCTCTTTTCTTTGTCTTATTTCATTTCTATGTTTCTGTCTCTTTTTCTCTCTCTACATTGTATCCCTCTTACTCATTCGACGATCGTTACGCGTTATTAGAATGTCAATGAGCATTGTCCTTCTCATCGGTCAAACAGTCGAACAGTTGAACGGTTGTCATGAAAAATCGACTCTTTTCGAATTCATACTCTTTATCTTGTCTCTCTTCTCTTGTTTCTTTGTCATTCTCGATCTCCCCACTTCTCTTTTACACATCCCTTCCACCCTTCCATTTCTTCCTCTCCTACCCTTCTCCCCATCTGTACAACGTCTCATTTATGTGGGTGCTTCTATGCTCACTGATCCTTGTTTCGCGTCGAAGTTTCGCGGATCGACGAATTGAATTCGCATCGTTTTTATCATCTTCTATGTTATCGCTCATCTTTCATCTCACAGAAAATAGTCATCACATATACAATTGCTCGATTGTTGCAAAAGCGCTATTTTCAATCTTGTTGATTTGGAGGGAAACTGATGGTCCAGTATTGTATGTAGCTGGTAAACGTGACTCGTATGTAAACAGAAACGGCATGCGTTGCGAATCAGAGATGATAATTCATCTGCGTTTTTTTCGTAATCCTGATCGAATTTTTCTATTTAACGATTCATCTATATAATATTTTTCTCGTGATAAATTCATAGAAATTAATTTTTTTTTTTTTTTTTTTTTTTTTTTTAATATCTATCACATTCAATTTTAACAGTTTGAACATATATACGTTATGAATTCGATAATTCCTGTAAATTTGAAAAACTTTAACATCATTATATCTAATACTCTTAAAATTTGGTTGAGTATTTCGCATTTAGATAATAAACATGCGTCGTTATTAAATCTCATGCTATTATGCGCGCTATTTGACGCAATGATCGCATTAATTGCATCGATCTTGCCGTAGTGCATGAGAAATCGTTATAAATTCATCGACCCCTGATGCATTTCGTGCTCGACTTTCTCTCGGAAACGGGAATAAACATTACCAGAAGAAACACTGTTCCGTTTCATTAAAAAGAGATATTTATCCATAGAGAAATAGGAAGAATAATGCGATCGTGCATGTAAACACCGCGATAATCGATACGATGTTCATATCAGATTACGCAATGTATATTTCTCAACGAAAAAATGATTTCGGAAGAGAATTTCATTGGACAATTGTATTGGCGAATGATTTTATATATATGATATATAAATTATCGATTGAATGATCGATCGAATTTCTACAACGGCGATCGATACGATCATTTTGAAATTTTTAGATATGTTTTCACGTAGTTGGAACGCTGATCGAAAATGAGTTGTGTGCGAAAAAAAACCATTGAAAGTAAGTTCGTTAAATAAATCTTAACATCTTGTTTAATCGGGGTGCTCAGACGAGTTCGGTGACCTGCTTTGCAAGGTCATCGAAGGTCACGTGTAGAAGTGATATGGTAGGTGATCGAACTTCAAAGTATTCTCGTTGCACGATATTTATATAAACTGGCACGAACATAAGGTAGACTAAAATTTCAGGTATGCTTCGTTTCTATATATCTCCCATTGCGCGAAAAAATTTTTTTCTTCAAATTTAATTATTTTTTATCGCTCGGAAATTTTGAAAAATCGCGCGTTTTTCTATTTCTTTCGATTTTTAATGATTTTATAAAATGCAAAATCCTATTTTTGAATTTTTTGATGACATCATCTTTGAACGCGAAAAACGCGACCTCTTAAACGTTGAATGCGATTTTGCGAATCTATTGAAAATTCGATGAACATTTCCGTAATTTATCGAGTACATTGACGAGAGAAACCAATGAAATTGCATCGGATAACTATTGCACTGTCTTCGATCATTGGGATCGATTTTCTTTCGCTTCATCTCTCGATATTGCTTTCTGGAACGTTAAACGAAGTTATCAAGTCAAGAGTATATCCGTTCTTGAATCGAAAAGGATTCCCGTTTAGCCAATCGAGGTTATTTTTTTTTTTTTTTATTCACATTAATAAGAACTGCAAGACAGTATTTATAGAGAAATCGATAGGCTGATCGCGTTGATTTCACGAATGTTCCGTCTTTCGAGATATACCATCATAGAAATCAGAATAAAGACAATATTTTTAACTCGCGTTTCTGTGCAATTAACTATTTATTAACCATACCTGGAAAATCGATCAACCAACGGTTCATTGCACTACTCCGATTTATACTTCGGCGAAACCGTTGAGGTATTATTTAAGAGAATGGAATTGTAAAAAATTTTAATATAGAAAAAGGAAAAAAAGTTTTGAAAAAGCTGAAGAAGAAAAAAAAGAAAATATATATATATATATTTTTTTTTTTTTTTTTTTTTTTTTTTACAAAAACACTTTTAAACATAATAGATTCACAATCATAATCGTAGATTTTTATTATGGTGTATGGTAAAAAGTTTTCGCACATCCGTGACCGATGATGATGATCGTTTTTCTAGAAAAAAGTAAGTCGCGTGGGCGTGGGAGGAGGGGGCCAGGTTGGGCAAGGGGTACAAGCGGTCGAAGATTCCGGTGCAAGCGGTCAATGGTGGAGGCAACAGCATCCATCGTATCATCATCATCATCATCACCAACATCATCACCATTATCATCATCAGGCCGGTTATTATACGTCGCAATCGCTCTCTCACAACAACCCTGTCACGACCATGAAGCAGTCTTATATGCAGGTTGGTCAACTTGTAATGTCACGCATGTCACTTTGTTCTCGCTTCGCGTTATCATCGGCTAAGCGCTCTTGTCCTTCGAACACCATAATCGTGTTCACATAACGGCAAACTGGACAGCTTGTCTGATCTTTTATTAGATTTCCGACATATACAATCTTTGTCTCTTTTTTGGAACGAATTCATCCGGGTTTGTTTCTTTTTTTTTTTTTGGTTACAGCTAACGTGGGTGTTTCACGACGACGAGGCGCAGATTAATAAGAAACTGCCAAAAGAATTACTGCTTAGGTATCGTAATATGTATATACTTATACTCTGTTTTCGATTTTTCCGCAAAAATATTTTAATCGATCTATTTTGCTTACCCTCTTCTTTTGTCGCTTCAATTTCTTTTCTCTTTTTATTTATTTATTTATTTATTTATTTATTTATTTATTTATTTTTTGTTACTATTAGTTTTTCTCTTCTGATGGTGGTCTTGACGTGTGTCTTTTTTTTCGAAAAGAACGGTAAAACGAGTAACGCATAATTGTCATACTATTGACAGAATCTTCTCGTATCTCGACGTGGTATCGCTATGCCGGTGCGCGCAAGTAAGCAAAGCTTGGAACGTGTTGGCTCTCGACGGATCCAATTGGCAAAGAATCGATCTCTTCGATTTCCAACGAGACGTGGAGGTAAATCGAATTTTTGACGTTTTGCTTACCATTTTTCTTCGAACTCTATCGCTCTCTCAAATTCAAACATATTCGATTTTATTCACCAATTATCTCTATCACCAAGAATCTAAACATTAGAGAGATTCGAGAATAATAT